TTGCCTCAAACTGCTATTTCCCTACGATGTGGAAACTCGTCAAAATAATCCCAATATCGAAACAGGGAAAACCCGCCACAGAAATTATCCACTACCGGCCGATTAATCGCCTAAGCAATATTAGTAAGATATTCGAAAACATCCACTTATTAGCTCATGTCAAGAACAACAACATATTCATCCCACAATAGTTTAATTTCAGGATAAAATAATCCTGCATTCAACAGATACAATGTGTCATGGAACACATCACCCTAGAAATAAACAAAAATAGATTAACATATCTTATTCTTTATATTAACATATTATAAGATATTAACATATCTTATACATCTCGGAAAAGCTTTCGACTCAGTCTGGCACAAACTATCAAACTCTCCTAATCAAACTAAAAAGAATAAACACCACGCCCTCGCTTAACGTAATTGCCAACTACTTAAAAAACAGAAAATTGTACGTCTCAATCAACGGTACTTCCTTAACCATCAAACCGCAAAACTGCGCAAGGCTCGCTCCTATTTATCCTTTACATAAACAACATCCCAAACATTCCAAATTCCTACTTATCGACTTATGCGAATGTTACTGCCATCTTTGCCTCCTAATGGTACCTCGGAAATGCAACAGAATAGATTTAAGTCCACCTCGATTAGCTACAAGAATATTTTCGCAAATGGAAACTCACAGTTCAGTCGGCCAAAATGCAAGTTATCACTTTTACCGAGGAAAACCAAGCCCACAGACCAAGTTATCATAGCATATCATAGCATCTTTTGAACATCCATAGTCACAAACTATAGCATTTACCTATATACAAAACTACATGAGCAAATCTGGTTTACTCTGCTTTTAACAGATTGTATCCGCTATTCTCAAGAAATGGCAAAACCAGGAAAAAATAATACAAATCACGCCATCAGGCCATCGAATCTGGGCTGCAGTAGCTAAGACATACATCAGCAAGATCCAAAAAATACAAAATAAATTCTTGCGCATCACTTCGAACTATGCGATCCGTGAACTCAACGCAACAGCTACCATACAAACAAAGTAAGACTACATCAAAAATTCATTCGAAACCGTTTATTGGCCCGAGCATTAAAATCTACTGATCAGTCAAACAGGAAATTAAAGTGTCAACGACATCCCTGGAAATCAAGAAAAGACTACCAAACTACAATCACCACAACATAAACTCGAGAATGGTCAGACTCCACGTAGAAATTAACGGAGGTATGGGTATTCTGAAATTTTTCCTGCTACCCCAACAAGTAATT